ATATATATATATATTGCGATGAAGATGTTTTTGCCGTTCAAGAAAAAAAGAAATTCTTTTTTTTTTTTTTTACATTCTACTTTTTTTTCTACAAGTAGATTGATTATTAAATGAAGTTTCAAACGACAGAAATAAAACAACATTTATTACTATTATGCGTCGTCATTCGTTAGATCCTGATAAACTTCGACGACAGATCAAATCGATCTTTGTTTCACCATCACGAAAAATTCGAAATCTTACACATCAAAATCATAATAATACAGCTGCAGTTGAACGAAGTCGACAAGCGCGACGTTTTAGTGTACCAGAAAAAAAATTTCCAGATAGACTGGGTTCCAGTAATGATCTTGATACAATCGATGAAGTAAGTAAATTAATATGCAAATGTATTCGCTAATGTCTGCTTTGTTGCTGCATGTTAGAGTAATATTTTATGCTTGTAATTAAAGAAAAAAAAAAAGAAATTTCTTTTTTTTGTCAACTTTTCCTTTTTTTTGTTTTTTATTATCTATAATGATTACTGACTATCAGAGAAAAGAAAAGTAACACCAGCTGCTATGTCGAACCTGGATGCTGGTTAATGATATGCGCAGAAAAGAGTAAAAATATTATATCAAAGTTAACTATATCTCTATTATTATTATTATTTTTTTTTTAATATAATATAGATGAGATAAAATATTCTTACAAGTATATTCTTTTTTTTTTATTAAAATACTTGTAGAGAAACTTTTCTTATCATTATATTGGTACTACACCAATAACTCGTTTTCTATTTACTTATTATTTCCGATGCAATACGATTATAGTTTCTAGTCAATATTGATTAGAATGATGATGACATAGTATGGCAAACGAGAAAAAAAAAATGGAAGGTTATCCTAAAGAAAAACAAGTGGTCGTTTTAAATAGATTGATAGATATTAACAATGGCGTCGAAAAAAAATAAACGTGTGCGTTGTGCACACACAAAAAAAACATAAGACAAATATTCATGTACTTGCTAGTGTCGTTGCCTCAGCCTAACATAATTTCTTGTTCTCTCTCTCTTCTTCTTTTTGTTCGTTTTTTTTTGAGATAAAAAAAAATATAACGATAGCAGCGATGACAACGACGCCAGCAGGCAACGCTTCTCGTCTCATTTAAGTGTTTAGTAGAAGTAGTAGCGGTTGGGCGTGGAAAGTGAGAGTGAGAGAGAGAGAGAGAAAAAAAACGAGACTAAGGTGAAAATACTACAATATTAAACGAATACAATGAATATGGGATTTTAAGTACATATTTATCTTTATATAAACTAACGATGTACTGACAACATTAATTAACATTTCTTTATTCAAAAATTTAATAAAGATCGGTGAAACATTTTACCAATGACATGTGATAGACGATATACTTTTTCTGCATCAGCAAATACATATACAGTTCCAGACAACCATGGTCGAGCTCGACTATTTTCTTCACCTGACAAACAAGATCTTGAAACAATCTATGAGGTAAAAACTTAAAATTATTATAGAAAAAAAAACCCAGCTCGATTATCATTCTAAGAGATTTTTTTATTGAAATTACATTGCTTGTTAATTCTCGCTCGCTCTTTATCAATTGCTTATCTGAGTAAAAAAAATTATATCATAAATTTTTTTCAAAAAAAAACGTGTGTACCTATATTCCTGTAATTATATTTAATTGCAAATTACTTTTTATCACATATATATCTATTTCGATTTAATATAAACAATTTTAAGAAATAATTTACCTAGACATATATAATTAATCATATTATATATTCGAACTGACATATTTTGTGAAACCACTTCGACGATAGTCACCTGAGCAATATGCGTAGTTTTTGTTTTTTATTAATTGACAATAGACTAATAAAAACAATATATGATAATACATGTATATATAAGTTCGTTTTTATTTTAAAAGGATAAGCAAAAAAATATGTTTGTTCATTTAAGATTATAGAATTTAAAATAGAATATTAATTTTTAATGTAAATAAAACGTTTTCTAACGATAACCTCGATGTGTTTTTATCGAAGGCTTATTATATTATTTACTTTGATGTTAGTTTAACTTCCGTTTTAGTGAGCTTGCATGAGATCATCGTATTAGTTATTTAAAAATTTATAAATATAGGGAAATTTCTTTCCGTTTTTTTCTTCTTCTTCTTCTTGCTCAGTATTTTAAAAGGTTCATCATTCAATAAGATCTATAGGATTATAATTGATGTTTGATTAAACTCAAGGGAGAACTATATAGGAATATATTTCGATGTCTTGTTAAAGAATAATTTTTTATTTATTAATAAGCAATAATCTAATGAATATTATGATCATCTCCAAGTGAACAATAAATAACCTACATATATAAATTAAATTATCAAATTGAATATATGGTTATTTTATTTTTAAATATTATTAAGTACCGGAAAAAAAGACTTATTTATAATTACACATACGTTGAAGATTGAAAAGCGCTATTTTTATATATGTTAGAAGCTTTAGAATAGGGATGATAAATTTGATTTAATTTAAATGAAAATTTTGCTATAGTATTAAAGTTACTGTCTGATGACTTTAATGTATTCTAGTTGAAATCATATGATATATATACGATATCATTTTATAATTAAAATAGATAGAAAATATTAATAAGATTTTGTTGTTTTTGAACACAAGTTTCTATTTAAAATTCATAATAGATCATTTAGCAAAAATATTATCAACAATTGATAATAATGTCTAAAATACAATTATTATATGAATCATATATCGTTGATTTTTCTTTTCTGTTTTTTTTACGCATGGTTGATTTTCTTTACAAAAGCCAATCCTTCTATCTTCTACATACATATATATATATATATAATAGAGCATCTGTAAAATTACGTTAGTTATTTGTTATTAAACTTAGTATTAACCGATTGTCGTTGGTATTACTATTGACTATTCGATTATTGTAATATTAATATATATATATATTTGGATATGTTGGATGTAACTCGAGTGAGTTTTTTTTTGTTGTTTTTTTCGTTATATATCTTTTGTTATTTCTTGTCATAACTATTCTCAGAACAAAGAAGTTCGAGTCTAAGAAGCGTAAGAACTTTTTTTGTCGTCTGCAAGATAAATAACAGAAGCCTATACGACGCGATATATAGATCGATGGGGAAGAAGAGTACGTAATGTTAAAGAGAAGAGAAAAGTACCCGATTTCTTTTTTTTCCATAGCATATATTTTCTTGAGATATGAGTTATAGCAGACATTATTTGAAAAGCAAAATAGCAAAAAAAAAATCTTTTCTCACTAGCACTCAATTGAACATTTCCATTGATTAAATCACAAGGGAAAAATATGTCTATCCTATCGACTATTATTTCATATTTTTGCTTGAAAGCATCGAGATGAAGAACAACGATGTGTACATTCATTATATATAGATGATGGGTGCTAAACATGAGAAAAAGAAGAAGAAGAAGACGAAGACGAGGAAGGAGAAGAAGAAGAAGAGAAATATACATAAATATATCATATTCTCTTTTTTCTTTTTTTTCTGGTCGCAAGTATTGATGTTACATATACAACATAATTTTTTTCTTCTGAGGAAAGAAAAAAACACGAGGTCATACTAGTATATTATTTCTATTGAATAAATATAAATAATATATATATATATATATTCCCTATTTCTCTATATACGGGGAAGCAAAAACAAAAAATAAAGTATTTAAAATATGACAACAAATGATCATTCAACCCGTAGTATACCACAAGGTTTACTTGATACCGTTTATGAAATGGTAAGTTCCATAAATATGAGAGAAAAGAATAGAATTATTATAGATATATTTTCCTCATTAAAAAATTCATATCCACTCACACACACACCATTTAGAATGAAGCCAATTCTACAGGTGGTGATACAAATAAATCACAATCATCAAATAAAACAAATGCTGATATAGCATCAAAACGAACACGTATACAAGCCGTATTTTTATCACGTACTAATACCAATGAAAAAAGTCCGAATACAGTTTTAACAAATTCAGTTGGAGTATTTTCTCACACAACAAATAATACATCTGGTCCCGGTGGTGGTAGTGCTAATAATGAAATAAATGATGGTTCTACACAACCGGATGTTGTAGCAGCTCTTGCTCAACATGCAAGTGCAGCATTACCTGTTGCTTCATTAGACTTACCATCTGGGAAATCTCAATTAATAACTACAAATTCAACAACTTCATCGTCATCAACAAAACAAGCTCATAGTCAACGTGCTCGTTCACAATCGAAAACTGATACACAATCAGTAACTGATAAATCACTTTTCTCAAGAATATTTTCGAAGAAATCTAAAAAGCCTTTGGGATCATTGATAACAACAACAACAAAATCAATTGATTTAGATACAACAAAAACTCGACCAAAAACTTTTAATAAATCATTACAAATACGTACTCAACGATCAATAATTAACGAACAAGATGAATATGGTTATAGTAATGATGATCAACTACGTGATTCAAATGTATCAACCGGTTCTTTGTCAGATACTGATCAATTTGATGATGAAATAAGTCCTAATCGTAGTTATAATACAACTCGAGCTGGAAGTCGAACGAATAGTGGTACTGGAAAAAAGTCAAATGTTGGTGGAAATTCTATGTTAATACCAACATCAGATTCACAATATTATGCATCAATGTCATCAGCACCGGCTGGTTTTTCAATCTCTTATCATAAACGTATGGGAAAAGGTAATGATGATCTTCGAATACAAGCCGCACTTAGTCGACTTCAACAACAACAACAAAATAAAAAAGGAGTTGATGGAGGTACAAATCAACTGATGGTATGTCCTACATTGTATAGTCATTTAAATAATATCTGTTTTTAACATAACATTCTTTCTGTTCTTCCCCCCTTTTCTTTGCCTTCTTTCTTTTACTCTCTATCTTCCGTTCATTGTCTTCTTAGTGGTTTGCGGAAATTTATCGCATTTGCGTGTAGTTGGCACAGATCCAATAAGACATCAATCATAATAACTAAGAAGAAAAGAGAAAAGATGTTAAGGAATGAGAAGAAAAAAAAGCTTGTTTGCTTGCTTGCTTGCTCGTCTGCTTGCTAAATACATTGCTTTGTTTTTTTATGTGTTATTTGATATCTATGAAAATTTTATATATACATGTTTTTTTTCCTATTCTAGTCCCTTTTTCAAGATCCTAAAAGAAATGGTAAGAATATAAACAAAAGAAAAGAAAAAAAGAGAAAGGATTATTTTACCTAAATATTTCTTTGTAGCCACACAAAGTCCAACACCTATGCCGGGTACAACACGAGTAAAAACATTTTCTGGTCAAACAATTATTACTCGTAATAGTTCATCATCAGATCGACCATCAGCATATGTTTTTCGTCCATCAGTACGTATAGATAATAAAAAAAACTAATAATAAGAATTTCTATATCTTTATTTTTATATTTAGTCTATTTCGCCTACTCATGATGCTGATGAAACATTTGGTAAATTTTTTTATTTTCATTTTTCTCCATATAATTCTTATTTTATTTTAGTAAGTGATGAAGAAATTTATACACATTTTATGAAATGTCATACATGTTATGATATAATGCCAAAGAGTTCGAAACTCGTCGTATTTGATACTCAATTAGGTGTAAAAAAAGCTTTTTTTGCACTTGTTTATAATGGTGTTCGTGCTGCACCATTATGGGATACAAAACGACAAAAATTTATTGGAATATTAACTATTACAGATTTTATTCTTATGTTAGAACAATATTATAAAGAACCACATGCTAAAATCGATGAATTAGAAGAACATATTATTGAAACATGGAGAGATGTTTTACGAGAATATGAAAAACCATTATTATCTATTAGACCAAATCAAAGGTATACAAAGAAATAATAATAAAAAGAAAATAATAATTCCTTTCTTTTAGTTTATATGAAGCTGTTAGTATTCTATTAGATAATCATGTTCATCGATTACCTATCATTGATCCGGCAACAAATAATGTTGTATTTATTTTAACACATAAAAGAATCTTAAGATTTTTTTATTTATATGTATGTAGATTTACTTTTTTTCTGAATCGAAAAAAAACAAATATTAATTTTTTTTCATATAGATATATGATTGGCCCCAACCCTCATTTATGTCTAAGACATTAGAAGAATTAAATATCGGAACTTATGATAATTTACATATTGTATGTTTTAATTGAAATAATTTTAAATTTTATCAAAAAACAAATTATTTTAGATTGAAGAAAATTCAACAGTTATTGAAGCTCTAAGTTATTTTGTTAAACATCGTGTATCGGCATTACCTGTTGTTGATAAAAATAAAAAATTAGTCAATATTTATTCGAAATTTGATATTATTGTAAGTTAACACATTTTCCAATGATAGGATTTAACTTAATAATAATAAATATTATTCTTTTTTTAGGGTTTAGTACCAGATAAAAGTTATCGAAATTTAAATATGACAATAAATGAAGCATTAATCTATCGAAAAGAACGTTTTGAAGCTGTAGCTAAATGTTATAAACATGAATTATTATCAATATGTATAGAACGTATTATTAGAGCTGAAGTACATCGTTTAGTTATTGTTGATAATGATGAATATGTTATTGGTATACTTTCATTGTCTGATTTACTTGATTTTCTTATTTTACGTCCAACAAAATCTAAATCTACTGAAGAAGTATCCTAATTATTTTCGTTTTTTTCGATTTTGCCATCATTACCCCGGTCATTAAAATGTGTATTATATTCAATATTTAGTTTATGAAAAAAAAAAATTATATTTGTTTCTATGATTATAAAACAATGTATTTTATTAGATGTACAAAAGAAAAAAAAAACTTATTTAAGAGAGAAAGGTTCTTTTTTTCTTCTTCTTCTTTTTTCTATTTTGTTGATTGTCTTTCAATTTTGTATAGCATCCTTGTATGATTTATTTGTGTGTTTGTCTGTCGCAAGTTTTATTATTATGCGCCTAACGATGGAAAAAAAATATTGTTTATCTTTTTTTTTGACGAATCATAGAATAAACATCAAATATACAATCGATAAATTATACTATATACATGAATATTTAAGATTTTCTTGGAATTTTATGGTTTATTACACTATGTTTACCCATCAGAAAACAGATGTACATCCTACTTAGAAAGGAAATCTGGATAAAATACATATATCAAAATAAATAGTTATATACAATAAATATGAGTAGTAAAATAATAACTTATTTTCT